TGGCATCGATAATGGGGAGGGATGGCATCCAGTATAAGATGGAATCGAGAATAAGGAGGGATGGCATCCAGTACAAGATGGCATCGAGTATGGGGAGGGATGGCGTTCAGTACAAGATGGCATCGAGAATGGGGAGAGGTGGCATCCAGTACAAGATGACATCGAGCATGGGGAGGGATGGCATCCAATACAAGATGGCATCGAGAATGGGGAGGGATGGCGTCCTGTACAAGATGGCATCGAGAATTTGGAGATGTGGCATCGAAAATGGGGAGAGATAGCATCAAGTAAAAGATGGCATCGAGAATGGGGAGGGATGGCGTCCTGTACAAGATGGCATCGAGAATTTGGAGATGTGGCATCGAAAATGGGGAGAGATGGCATCCAGTACAAGATGGCATCGAGAATGAGGAGGGATGGCATCGAGTACAAGATGGAATCGAGAATGTGGAGAGATGGCATACAGTACAAGATGGCATCGAGTATGGAGAGGGATGGCATCCAGTACTAGATGGCATCGAGAATGGGGAGGGATGGCATCCAGTACAAGATGGCATCGAGAATGGGGTGGCGTGGCATCCTGTACAAGATGGCATCGAGTATGGGGAGGGATGGAATCCAGTACAAGATGGCATCGAGTATGGAAAGAGGTGGCATCCAGTAAAAGATGGCATCGAGAATGGGGAGGGATGGCATCATGTACAAGATGGCATCGAGAATGAGCAGGGATGGCATCCAGTAAAAGATGGCATCGAGAATAGGGAGGGATGGCATCCAGTACCATATGGCATCGAGAATGGGGAGCGATGGCATCCAGTATAAGATGGCATCGAGTATGGGAAGAGGTGGTATCCAGTACAAGATGGCATCGAGAATGAGAAGGGATGGCATCCAGTAAAAGATTGCATCGAGAATAGGGAGGGATGGCATCCAGTACCATATGGCATCGAGAATGAGGAGCGATGGCATCCAGTATAGGATGGCATCGAGTATGGGAAGAGGTGGTATCCAGTACAAGATGGCATCGAGAATGGGGAGGGATGGCATCAAGTAAAAGATGGAATCGAGAATGGGGAGCGATGGCATCCAGTATAAGATGGCATCGAGTATGGGAAGAGGTGGTATCCTGTAAAAGATGGCATCGAGAATGGGGAGGGATGGCGTCCTGTACAAGATGGCATCGAGAATGGGAAAAGGTGGCATCCAGTAAAAAATTGCATCGAGTATGGGAAGAGGTGGCATCCAGTAAAAAATTGCATCGAGTATGGGAAGAGGTGGTATCCAGTACAAGATGGCATCGAGTATGGGGAGAGGTGACATCCAGTACAAGATGGCATCGATTATGGGGAGAGGTGACATCCAGTACAAGATGGCATCGATTATGGGGAGAGGTGACATCCAGTACAATATGGCATATGAACTACTGCGTGTTGCTATCTGGGTACCTACGTTCAGAATAGCGATGTTCATGAGGACATATTGGTTAGTCGGAAACCTTTTGTATTGATCAGTCACTGTGATCATGGAAAGCGACACTCGTGTTTTACGTGTTTGACTTTCTATTGTAGTATAACACTAGTAGCCTGTGCTCTTGTGTACTTATCACTTAATGTGTTGCCATGGATACAGCAATCCAATCCAATATCTCTAACTATTTCTATTACGACTAATTGAAAACAAATATATTTGGCCTCACTGTTATTTACATTTGGTGCAAGAAATCATAACTCTGTTGAGGAGGAGGTTGACCCTCTTCGTCTTGCAAGCAATCCATAAGAGATATAATAGAAGCATTATATTACGCTTAAACTCCTCCATTGTTGAATGGTGGTAGTGCTATGGTGGCTGGATGATGAATATTACACAACTGTTACCCAGAAATGAACAAGTACATAAATACGTTGTAAAATTATTAATATTTATAAATCATGTATGGCATTGTTGGAGTGTGTACTCTGCACATACCTCACATCTTGCAACCTGTGGAAACAGACAAAGTACACACCACCCGATAGCGAACTAACTTGACGGGTTACAGTGAATACAACATATACACCCAGCGTTGGTAGCAAGATGCGCCGTAGGTTATTCTCAACTGTAGGTATGGTGACGCGAGAGGTGTTATACTCAACGCGTCTCAATACTACCAGTATTGTATATTACCAACTTATCGCATCCATGCTCAATGATATACAGCAACGTCGACTACTGGGCGAATGTGTTGCATTTTACGCAATATGCGTCACTGTGC